GTGGGGTCCTTCATGATGCAGGTGGCCCTCTTCCTGCATCTGGAGGTGTAGATGTCTGTGATGGTGGGGAGGCTGATTCCAACAGTCTTCTGTGCAGCCTTCACCACTCTCTGCAAAGCTTTTCTTTCTGCAGTTGTGCAGCCTCCATGTCACACGTTGATGCTGGAGCACAGGATGCTCTCCACTGCACACCTGTAGAAGGAGGTGAGGACTGAGCTTCCCAGACCAGCTCGTCTCAGCCGCCTGAGGAAGTAGAGTCTCTGATGAGCTTTCTTGATCAGGCTGGTGGTGTTGTTGCCCCAGTTGAGGTTGTCATTCAGATGTACACCCAAGTACTTGTAGCTGGCGACCACTTCCATTGCAGATCATCCTATATTCGAGGTGGGGTAGGTGTATTTATTTCGTCTGAAGTCCACGACCATCTTCTTCATCTTCTTCACAATGATGTGGAGGTTGTTCTTCCTGCACCAGCTCTCCAGGTGTTCCACCTCCTGCCTGTAGCTGGACTCATCAATGTTTGTGATGCATCCCACCACCGCTGTATCATCTGCAAACTTTCCAATATGACAGCCTGGATGCAGGTGCACAGTCAGTCATATGTGAGCAGAGTGAACAGGAGGGGGCTCAACACACAGCCCTGAGGGGAGCCAGGGGAGCCAGTGCTGATGGTTATGATGAAGGAGAAGTAGTGGATCCTCACAGACTGTAGTCTGTTGGTTAATAAATCCAGGACCCAGTTGCATAGGGAGGGTCTTAGTCCTACTGTGAGTAGTTTGTCCATCAGGGTCTGGGGAATCATGGTGTTGAAGGCAAATGTGAAGTCGACAAAGAACGTATGAGTCTTTCTGCTCCAGGTGGGCAGGAGCAGTGTGGACCACAGAGAAGATGGCATCCTCTGTTGATCACTTCTTGTGGTATGCATACTGCTGTGGGTCCTCGCTGATGTCGATGGTAGTTTTGACGTGGGCCATGACCATCCTTTCAATGGATTATCGACATTCAGGGTGAGGGCTACAGATAAGCCTGCAGTCTGAGAGGAAAGTGCTCTGTTAGGAAATTTTGGAGCAATAAAATCTCAAATATAAGATGGAGCTAGGTTGTTGAGAGCTTTGTAGGTTAGAAGTAAGATTTTGAATTATTTTCTGGATTTGACAGGGAGCCAATGGAGAGAAGCTAAAACTGGATAGATATGATCTCTCCTACCAACTCCAGTTAAGACTCTGGCAGCAGCATTTTGGATCAAATGAAGACTTTAAAGAAGTATTTGGACACCCAGATAATAAACCATTGCAATAGTCCAGTCTAGACATGACAAATGCATGAACAAGTTTTTCTGCACCATTTTTGGACAAGATGTTTCTGACTTTAGTGACATTACACAGGGATAAGGTGGTTCTGGTAAGGGTAATGTGGGAAATAAAAGGCATGTCCTGATCAAAAATAACACCAAGATTTTTAACATTGGAACTGGAGGCCAGATTAATGACATCCAAGGATGGGCAAAAGAAAATACACAAAAGAAAAGGCTTTCCACCTGCTTTACAATTACACAGGACGCTGCACGTGTAAGATGAAACATGCCCATATTTTGGTAACACAGGGGTTCACATTGCACAACTTTTCATTCTGTACACCTGAACCTTACACAGCTTAACCTGAACTCTCACATAAATGATTGGAGTAAAAATAGTTTAGTTCAGCCTAATCATATGAGGGAAGCAAAGCAAAAACCTGTGCAAAAATAAACATAAATGCATTAAATTGGTGGTTCCAAATTGTCAGGATTCATATCAGAATCACCCAGTAAGGGGTCTTAAGATGATTACTACAATCTTTATTACAACTGTCAAAAAGGATAACACTGCAGTTATAAAGTGATTTTAAAGATAGCAAAACCAGTTCTCACAGTTGTTTTATTTGGCCTATTTAAGAATGTTTGTATGTTCAACAATATTCAAAGTCACAAGTCTCTGTTGCTTTTATATGTGTGTCAGAAGCTGAAAAAGACCCGGAACCACTGTTCTGCAGCTTAAAATGACAGTTAAAACCACGAAAAGTGACATTATGTTGGAAACTTCCCTAATTACTGTCACACGTGACCAGTTTGACAGAAGGGAACCGCTGCGTGCAGACACACTTTATCCTTCCGCCAAAACCACCCGAGGACAAGATTATTTCTAGTTTTCATATAATTCCAAATATAACTTGTTGGTTATCAGTGTCTAATATTAATAGTTTAACTGGTGATAGATTATATTAATTTCGCTGGTTTTAGTTAACCTCCGGGACTATATACAGTAAGGGCGGATGAATATGTGTTGTAAAATCCCAGCCTGCTCTAGCTTCTTTTTTTCCTTCGGTTGGAGGCCATGACGGGAGCCTGAGAGTTCAGCTGGAGCCTGAAAAAGAAGATGATTCCCCGGGACGAAACTGTCAAATCGGCCCGCACAGACTTCTGATCTTTGTATAATCTTTATACAGCCTAGGTGGAGTCTGTCACTTTTTTTTTTACTTTTTTATTCTTATGTTTCAAATGTGTTCTTGGCAATCTGTCGATGACAATGTTGAATTGTTAGGAGGTTTTTGGATCGAAAAAGGAGGCTAGCACGGCTAATGCTACGTCTTACAGAGACTGGGTTTCGAGAGCCGGTGAGTTCGCTCTAACCGACCTTTCGCTGTCGATTGCGGCAGCTACCTCAGAGCCACCGCTTCGTCCGACATCTTAAAAAGCTTCTCGGAAGGTCGCTGCATGCATTTTGTCCGGTGGAGTTTTGGGCAGAACGAGAGTCGCGGGATCGGGGGAAAGTCGGGCCTGCGCGGAGGAGGAGCGGAGCAAGGCCCGTCTTTATGATCCAGAGAAAGCCTTTTCTAATCCTACATCCACCGACAGCCGCCGCTAGCTCTGCGGGCTAGCACACGTCTCCGCTAAGGAAGGGGAACCTGCAAAAATTAAAGACTACGAAACAAGGACAAAAAAAAAAAAATCTTTCTTTTTTTTACCGTTTCTCCCATATGGCTACAATGACTGCGAAAATAAAGGAAATTGTCAGTCGGAACAAAAGGAGATACCAGGAGGATGGCTTCGACCTGGACTTAACATGTATCCTTCCTTGTGCTATGCGTAGTTTCATTTTATTTTTTTCTGGTCATGGTTCCGTCGATGAGTGGAGCTGGATCCAGAAATGTCAGCGGAGGACCGTGAGGTGGTTCACACAGACAGCGTGTCTGAAAGATGGTGGATCTGTCAAACCAGCAGGCAGAAATGTCACGGCCATACATGTTGGCTTGGTGGGAAGCCCCTGCTAAACTGGACTCTGGTGCACGGGCTTTTTACCAGGGGCAGGCCTCTTCACATATACGTCATTTATCTACCATTATTTATTAATTATTTGTTTTAAAAAAAAATGGGGCCTTCTGTGTCAGATTGTGCTTAAAATAGAACGCAATTAACCAGTTTGACATCTTTTTTTTAAGTCATGCTTTCACTAAACCTATATTTTTCTATTTGCAGTGACTAAATCTATAAATTGACAACTATTTAGCCATTTCAGGTCACTGCAGTCTTAATGTCCTAAATTGTCATTTGATTGCGGTTGACCTGGTTCATACTGTCATATGGCTGAGGCTAAAGATGGAGGCTAGTGCTTATTTAGCAGGGGATAAACTAGATCAGCAACTGATGTGGTGTACAGTGGCCAGCTGAATGCATAATTTAATGTGGGACAGTGCTGAGAGCAGGTCGTGGTGGTTGAAGTTGGGGTGGACGTGTCCTGACTTTGTCAAGATGGCAACACCGACTCCTGGGGGGGGGGGGGTGTTACCTCTTCCCCTTGCTGTAAAATAATGTGCAGCTTTATCAGTGTTAATAATGTAGAGAGCATGTTGGTGTAATGTCACTGCAAGAAGGATACTTTGGTTAAAAGTGACAAAGATCCACCCTGAAAAGGGTTTAAAATGCATCTTTAGGATTATTTTGTTTGACTGAATTATTAATTTGGACCTAAATTAACATAGATGAGTGTTCAACACCGTAGGTTTTAGTTTTTACGGTCTATGTTACCTAGAGAACTTCTGAAACAATAGGCTTCAACTCTTGTCTAAATGTAGAAACAGGCTGTACCTTCAGCTGTGATGTATGTGTGAGAGATCGTACGTCACAATAACGAGTCAGAGGTTTTTTCATCTGGCTTACAATGCGGTCAATCTAACTAAAGTTTTGGTTTTGTTTTGTTTTTTGGTGGCCTGACTTTGTGTTGCGCCTCTCCACCCCCCCCCCCCCCCCCCCCTGTGCAGGTGTGAAAGGCTCCACTTAAGTCACATCTGTCTTTGGCTTGAGGTGTTCTGATTTGACACGAGTCCTACTCAAACCATCGTGTTTAATCATTTTTGGTGTGGTGTCTAAAAACAATATGGGCTCTCTTGCAGTTATGTAATCCAGTATCATGGTTCTGGGAATTGCCCTTAAAATAGAGTAACCAGTGATCTTGTAACAGCATTGCTGTCTCAGAGCTCCCTCCTCTCTCTCTCTTGCCCTCTCAACCTACCACCTCTCCATTTTTTTTTTCTTACAACTCCCACTCTTAATTCTCCCTCCCTTAGCTTGCCCCTTTTCCTGTGCTCTCCTCCTTTCCTGTCCTCCCCACCTCCTCCTCCTCATTTAGCTCTTTGCTGGTTCCAACTCTCTTCCACACCACCCTACCTTCTTTTTTTGTTTGACTCAGGTTTGGATTTGGTTTAAGCATAAAACTCGGGCAAGGTTTGCTTTATAGAAAAGTCGTGCGTGAAGCAGAAGAGTCCGCTCCCCATCTTACTAGAGCTTTCGTCGGGGGTCTAACGTGGATTTCTCACTAAAGGATAAAGTATTTCTCAAAAACTTGTATTTGGCAGTTAGGTCTTTAAGGCAACGACGTACAAAATGATGGCACGTTAGAGCTTTATGAAAGTAGTAGTATCGTGGATTTACTTTAGAGATTGTTGAATTTATCCACGTTCAGCTGCTTATATTAGCATAACGGGATTGCAATATTTGCTTCCACTTAACGCATTTTAAAATATATATTTTTTTCATCTAAATGTGCTTAAAATCGCAATAGTTTGTTTATGTGTTATTGTCGTACAGTTGACTCGTTTTGAATTGGCACAATAACTGCATAGACTGAGTGCACTGTGAAAAGGGCTGTCCTTGTTTGTAATCGTCTTATTTTTGAACACAGTTGTACCTCCCTGAACTGTCAGATGCGCATGTCAAATGTCTCCTACCAGTCTAAAAAGCGATTTTTATTTTTTTTTTTATTTTTTATTTTTTTAACGCTGCGAAAAATCTGAAAAGGTGCGCTCCAAATGATGCGCTCTCATCCAATTAGATGCATTCAGCTTTTTCTATTTTCGACACAGGAAGTGTAAGAGAAGGTTGCCGTTTAGTCGATGGTTTGAACGTGTGAAATCCTACAGATTATGATGATGAGCAGACTTCAGTTGCAGGTAGGCGTTGCAGTCGAGCCTTGAAGACATGCATGCCAACTAAATTATTCTCTTCGCTTCTGCGTGACGCTGATGTTCACCTTTAAAATTTTATGTGTGTCACCTTGGAATTGGTCACTTTTTTTTTTTTTTCTGCACCGTACTGTGCTGTAACCCGGAGCCCCATTCCGTGATGAAAGGCAACTCCAAAAGGCAAACTAGCTGTAGCAGAAACCCTCTCGAAGCACAGATTGATATGGAGCATTCTCGGAATCATAATTTGCTGTACATGCATGTACGTAACCTTGTATTTATATATTTGGTTTTTCCCATAGGATGTTACAATGCATGCATTTAGTCTACTAGACATTCAAATTAGCCCTGACTGAGATCACAAGAGATAAGAAACATTTGCAATCGTCCCGATTATAACTTCGGGCTCTAAAAATACATGCAGGTGATTGGTCAAGGAGCAGAGACTAATCCTGCACCCACGTGTGGGCCTGTGACCCCTGTCCCCTCTGCCTACCTCTCACGGTCAAGGATGTCCATCATTATATGCAATCACACTCATACTTGTATAAAAACACAGGAAAGACTTTGTTTCTGATGAGTTTCAAGGTGTTTCTGTAGTTGTACCTTCATCCTGGTCTCCATAGACGTGCACAGTGTGCATTTCCTTGACCCCTGGTTGAACAGATATCTACCCAAACATCATTGCTATGGGCTTTCCAGCAGAGAGACTTGAAGGCGTGTACAGAAACAATATAGATGATGTAGTACGGTGAGTTTCCAAAGACACGCTTCCTTTCTGAATATTTGTTTGGCGCTTTGATCCAATTTGAAAGCAATCGTTTTCCCTTCTGCCCACAGGTTTTTGGATTCGAAGCATAAAAACCATTACAAAATATACAACCTGTAAGTGTTCCACATTCTGCCTGTATCTGATCTGGCTTGTGTTTACTTACCAACTTCCTCTGTTTGATGGCTAACTGGAGCTTGTTCTTCCCATTTCAGCTGCGCAGAAAGACACTACGATGCTGCCAAATTTAACTGCAGAGGTATGCTGCTTTTATAGATCTTATCTGAGAAGATAAAATTGGTCCTAAAAGCCTGACCGTGTGTTCTCACAAAAATTCACTGTCGTTTTCCCTTTTTATTCTCTCGCTGACCTGTTTATTGTGTGTTCCCATCCTCGTCATGTTTCCTCTGTCCTTACAACTCTGCGTGGGCCTGCGTCCCGTCACGCATCAGTTGCACAGTACCCCTTTGAAGACCACAACCCCCCTCAGCTGGAGCTGATTAAGCCGTTTTGCGAAGACCTGGACCAGTGGCTCAGCGAGGACGACAATCATGTGGCGGCCATCCACTGTAAAGCCGGAAAAGGCCGCACCGGAGTGATGATCTGCGCTTATCTCCTCCATCGGAGAAAATTTACGGAGGCCCAAGACGCACTTGACTTTTACGGCGAAGTTAGGACAAGGGACAAGAAGGTGGGGAAATGAAACTAAATGTTTTAAGCGCAGCTTTTAAATGCATGCAAGGGTTTGTTTCACGAAATCTCCTTGTTAGTTCTTATTTTCAACAAAATTATCGTTTCAAATTTCATAAATCGTGATGTTTTTGTCATGTACGTTGCAGGGAGTCACGATCCCGAGCCAGCGCCGATACGTCCATTACTACAACTACCTACTGAAGCATCGACTCGACTACAAGCCGGTGGCGCTGCTATTCCACAAAATGGTGTTCGAAACACTCCCCATGTTCAGCGGAGGCACCTGCAGTGAGTAATGCTCGTGTTCAAATCCAGCTCCAAACTAGGCTTGTAGGCATGCTGTTGGATGTGTGGCGCTCCGTAGGGCTGCAGTTCAGCCCCATGGAGCAGAGTGGGTCGTCCGTGGTAGAACGGCGTGTCTGTGCGGTAAAACTCAATCAACTAGGGCTAAATTTGGGTCGTTATTTTTGGCCCTTTGACTGACGAGGACAGCTCTGTATTGATTAAGTCTCCCTTTGTTGTTCACCACAAGGTCGACATGATCACCGCTACAAAAACCACCTGTTGAATTAGATCCCAGACAGTTGTCCTAATGGGAACTTTAGATTAAAAAATAAAATAAAATCTTGTAAAATGTATCACTCTGAATGGTGGCACCTTTACATCAGGAAGACTTAACCAGGAAGTCCCCAAAAGAGGAATTGAATATCTTTGTCAGTGATTTGTTTTGCATACAGTCGCACAGCAGTCAGGATGTACTGCCTCTCTGTCCTGTTGATCCATTTCTGCACATTTGCTCCTTGTTCCGAGTGATTTCTGCCAGTTGTAAAGTGATGTGTATGCTAACATGTACAGTAGTGATCTCTTGTCGTGTCAAAGTGGATTAAACACGCAGCAGTCAAAAATCCCCAGTTCTTTTGGTCTTCCAGTTGTGATGTCGCTTCTGTTTGAGCATTGTGGTGGTTTGATACAAATTTATGGCCTCGGGGGTGGGGTGTATTGAACAACTCTACATATCTGTTAAATTGTGTGATTCAGTGTTCTGTGACTCCTCTTGTATCTATATTTGTCAGTTTTTTAAGCTCTGTCTTAAAAAGAACCTCTTCCTTCTCCATGTCTGTGGCTTTTCTCGCCTTAACACCAGAATGTGCTCAAACACCCTGACTATCGATCCTTCTCTTTTCTACTAAAAAAACCCACTGAGGCCCTATTCTGAGAAAGACATCTTCTTAACATGTGCACTGTTTTTTTTTTTTCCCTCCCAGCCTTAGATTTTAGCTTTAGTGTAAAGTCTAGGTTGATGCCTCTGCTACAAATAACATCACAGACAAATTCAAAGACATTATGATGTTTTGTTGTCGTTTGATTTTTCAGCATTCTCAAGTTTCGCTTTTTGTTCCTATCCCCTTTAAGCATCTCACACAGCCCGATTGTCGGAAAGACACACTCCTAAAAAGCTGCACACACTGGATTGATTAAAAGATGCTGTGTAGACGCAAATACCTGTTTTAATATTTGTGTTGCGCTCTTGTGTTCATGCCTGCTGTGCTGTCGAGCCCCCTGACGGGCCAGCCCAGGCCCTGCTTGTGATCATTTCCTTCTCTCTCTCTAAGGGGACAGTACCGTTAAAAACAGGAGCGAGCCGACCCCTCAGGGCTTCAAGAAAGGGAATTGGCATTGGGGTAAATGAGCCTTTCATCCATTTTTATTTTTATTTCATTCATTTGCTTTTATATGGCCCCAGTGATCCACCAGGCAGGAGCAGCTTTAAGGTAGACATGTCGCCTGGCAGGATAGGTAGAGCATAAAGGCCCCCACATACTCTGGCGTACTGTGTGTGCTCTGTGAGCTACGCGGACTCCGCGCGTATTGTCCGCAGATGGTTGAGACTTCATACTCGAGCATGCACCCTGATGGGCTGCAGCTCAGCTCTGCAGGCAAGGGGCGTTTACCTTTGGGACAAATCAAGGTCACCGATTGGTCATTTGCTGACACGCCTACTGTATTGATTGACAGGTTGCAAAAAAAAAAGAGCTGCCGGCGGCCCTGTGTAGAGGCAGCTGGCAGCCCAGGAGCAGCGGCTGCGGTGTTCTGTGTTTATATTTTGTTAATAAAAAGTTCTAACAAATAAGAAAACAGGGAGCGCTGGCCCTGCAGCCAACACATCAGACCGGCCCACCGGGAAATCTCCAGACCCTCCCGATTATGCCACAGGAAGTCCTTCTTCCCTGTGGCTATCAAACTTTTCAACTCCTCCCCCTTTCGGCACGTAAGATAATAAAATTAATCCTGCACCACAATAAACACTTTTGTTTTCACATTAAAACAGTTCACACATGTATGCACCTGACCTGTTAAGAACTTAATCACTGGTATTTTTATATTCTCTCTTTTTTTTAAAATATATCTCTTGTGATTCGTTGTGTACGTTCCTTTTGTACTGAAATTCTGGCACAACAATTTCCTGCGGGATTAATAAAGGTCTATCTCATCTTATTAGCCACACCGGGCCTGATTGTAATTCCTTCATTTCTCACAATTTCAGTCATGGCATCAACGGACGAGGAGGAAGAGATCGCTTGCCAAAAAAACAAAAGAAAAGAAAAGACCATTAAACCAGATCAGGAATGAAGAAGGGGAATTTAATACATTGGTGTCGCACAATGAACAGCCCGTCGCCGGGCAGTTTATTGTGCGACACAGAGTACGCGTATGCAGTCGTAAAAACGTTATCTTTGCGCGGACATGGCTTTCAGACGTCTACTTCGAGTATGCGCGGACCTCCGTGAAGTACGCCCGAGTATGTGGGAGCCTTAAGAGGCAGATGAAGTCATCTCCAGCACCACCCCCCACACTGACGGGGGAAAAAAGAGAGCGTAAAATTGGCCTAGAGGCAACAGGTCGCTCTGGTCCTGACCGAGCGTATCGGGTCTATCAGAACAGGGTCCTATTTCTCTGGCTTTTTGGTCTCTGGGTTGTAACAGTTTGTGGTTTGTTACTTAACCTGCCTCCTCTATAATTGATCTAAAAGTTGTCACTTTCTGTTGGACTCACCAAGTGGGGGGAGGTGGTGGTGTGCTTTCCTGTGTCTTCGTCCAGCTCTTGTAATAAATAACGTTTGATATTCTGTCCCTGCTCCCATGTCCCTCACTCTTCCTCTTGTTCCTCCCTCTTCATCTCCTCCCGTGAGCTCACCCCTTCATGCCGGTGCCATGTCGACACTTTTTTTTTTTTAACGTTTTATTTTTTGCAGATCCGCAATTTGTGGTCTACCAACTCAAAGTCAAGATTCACACCTCAAACCCGGCTCATACGCGACGTGAGGACAAGCACATGATTTTTGAATTCCCCCAGCCGCTGCCGGTGTGCGGAGACATCAAAGTGGAGTTCTTCCATAAACAGAATAAGATGCTGAAGAAGGTTAGCTTGCAGCCTTCATTGAGGCCACACCAAGCTTTTTTTATTATGTGCTAGATCAAAACGGATATTTCTCATTTACCTGCTTTATATTTGTCTGTTTTGTACAAACACCGTTAAAGACGCAAATCACAAACACACTTACCCAGTCTCTTCAGTAAAGTTCTTTTGAGTTGAAGCCTTGTGATGTTTTTCTGCCTTATACGATAAAAACAACACAAATTTATGAGTCGTATAATTTTACGAACTACTTCAGTTTTTTAATTGAAAAATATGTTTACATCTTTATTAAAAACAAACGTTTCCAATGCAGTGTCCAGAGACAAGTTGGAAGATACTGAGACAAACTTTGGCACAGTTAGATTGTTTAGCTTTTTGACAGCGAGAAACAAAAAGAATAGCATCGACTTTAGCCAAAAAGACTTGAAGGAATTAGGTGTAAAACTGAAAATATCCAGATAAGTCTATTTCCCCCCGCCCTCATTATTATTATTTTTCTCATCTCTTCCTTCAGGATAAAATGTTTCACTTCTGGGTGAACACGTTTTTCATCCCCGGACCAGATGAGAGTGGGGAGAAGCTGGAAAACGGGGCGGTGAACAATGCAGAGAGCCAGCAGGGAGGAGCAGTGCCGGGTCAAGGCCAGCAACCGAGCGCCGAGAGCAGAGACGGCTGCAGGGAAGGGGACAGGGAATACCTCATCCTGACACTCACAAAGAATGACTTGGACAAAGCCAATAAGGATAAGGCTAACCGCTACTTTTCTCCAAACTTCAAGGTGAGTAGTAGTTGGGAGGGGTTTGGGTTGCTTTAAGGAAAAATGTAAAGCTGTGATGAGCTTGGCGTTGTATTCTCTAAATGCAAATGCCAATTGTCTTGCGTTCCAGGTGAAGTTGTATTTCACAAAAACTGTGGAGGATTCTTCAAACTCTGAGGCTAGCCCATTCGTCACCCCGGACGTTAGCGACAATGAGCCAGACCATTATCGATACTCTGACACCACTGACTCTGATCCAGAAAATGAACCTTTTGATGAAGAGCAGCACACGCAAATCACAAAAGTGTGAACTCTTTTTAACGCAGGAAAGGAAGAAAATGTACACCCGAGAAGAAAAAGGAAAAAAAAAGGAGAAAACTTGAATATAAACTCAAAAGAAGAACCTCTGTCCCTTCCCTCCCCCCCAGACGGCAATAGAATATCATCATGTCAAATGCCAATTTTAGGGAAAAAAAAAAAGATTAATATCTTGACCAATATATTTTGTTTTAATTTTTCCTGATTTTTTTTTTTTTTTTTTTGGCACAGCAATGTACCATGTGTGAGGTATTGACACTGTTGCCCCAATGGGAAAAGGTGCTGTAGCTATAATTTCGT